GTGCCGTGCTACAAAGCCATGGACACACTGTGGCGAGTGTGTTATGAGGCTGCTTACGCTCGCGCATGGCTCGGCAGGTGCCTGGGTTCAAACCCCAGTGGCAGCAAAAAACTCTCGGATCTTGATAAGATAAATCCGGGGGCGGGGCAACGTGCGCGCGTGCGGCGGCCTTGGCGCTTGCGCGCACGCGCTCGTCATGGCGCCTCTCTTTTCCGCCACGTGGCGCCTCCTGCACGCGCCGCTTTTCCCCTGCGTTTTCATTGAAAAACGCCCGAAAACAGCGAAAAAACCCGATGTCGGGTTTTGCTGCTTTCCTCAACTGTATGCCTGCATTGCTGTACGGGGTGGTGGGTGGGAGCGGGGAACATTCCCGCTCCGATACCAATGTAGCGGACCCACCAGGTGTGGTGCTCTGCTAGTGACAGAGATGGAGATGGAGGAAGAAGGGGGGAGCGAGATGGCACAACGCAGCTCCCCATGCAAGACTCCAACGCACGTACTCCAAAATGTGCAAGTGAAGAATGAGACTGAAAACAGACAATGGCTGGGGTATACCCCAGCGGACTGACGGGACTGGACTGGACTGGCTGGTACCGACAGAGGTACCGTCCTGGACTGGCCTACCCCGAATACAACACAGGCCTGTGAGAACAGGCCAAGGGGCTGGTCTCACAGGCCAACCCGAGGTCCGCTACACTCTTTCTGTTATCCAATCTCTTGTTTTTTAATCCCAAATATCCCCCACCCTAAGAACACCCCGAGCTACCCATCCCCTCCAAAGGGCCTCCATGCAGTGGAGGGTTGTGCCATGGGAGTCGGTGATCCACCGGTTCCCGAACAGAGGTTGTCTGCATACCTCTTCCCACCTTTGTGGGGCCACCTTGTCCGGAAGTGGCAGCTTACGCTAGATGTTGAGCAATGTGGTAAAAAAAAATCGTTCTTAATGTTTTTTCTTAACTTTTGCCTGCCGGATCCTTTCTCTTCGTTACCTTTAATCATCCTTTTCGGTATAGTCCAGTTTCTGCCCGCCAACCAGCTTATCGGGTCCGTGCTCTCGGGGTGGGGGGGGGCAGCCGTTTAATCTGCTGTAGGGCCAGTTTCCTCCACTGGAAGGGGTGAGAAGATCGAAGATCAGGCTCTTTACCCATTGTAAGGCCAGTGTCATAATTTGCGTGGCGGGATCTAAGATCCTCAGGCCCCCTTTCGATTTAGGTTGCACGATTGCCCGCCAAGCGACCCAGGCCTGCTAATCACACTTTGACATTCATGATTTCCCCTCCAAAGGAAGGTTGCCACTTGTCTTTGGAGAGGACGCAGTGATGTCTTACTAAGTGACCAGATAGTTGTCTTATACCAAAGGGAAGCTAATATCACATCATTGCTAAGTAGCATTTCCGGATATTCGGAGGGCGTGCATTAATCCGGTATATCCGGCCGGAAGAAGGCCCCCGGATATTACCGGAAATACATTTTTCGGGGTCTGTGCAAAATATGTGCAAGGCCCGGGAAATGACTTTGGGGGTGTGGCGGGGTAAAGGGTGGCAGGCCGAATACCCTTCCGCTCTCAAATTGTCACGGGGCCCTACCAATTTTGAAAAACAAAAGGCCCAATCTAGGTCGTTGATCGACGATGATCCACGACCCAAATCGGACCTTTTTTCGAATTCGCGCTACACGCTGCTTGGCGCAGACGGCCCCCTGCCCCACCTCCCTCCTGCTTAGCTGTTGGAGCCATCGCTGCCGCCGTTGCTTGCCATCGCTAGGAGCACCATCCTCCTCCTCCAAGGTATGCCCGTCCTCCCCCTTAACCCCCCTCCACCCCCGCCTCCTCTTCCTTTTTTTGCTTTTCGTCGTTCTCCTCCTCCTCCTCTTCCTCCTCCCTCTCGTCATCGTTCTGATCTATGTATCCATTCAACTCACAACGGGTTTTGTACAACTCCGTTGTACCCGTTGTACACCCCCGGGGTCCGAGTTGAATCCCCGTTGAACGGTACAACGGGGACTTCCCGTTGAAATCCGATCAACGGGTCAGGCCCAATGGGCCGCGGACACGTGGCAGAATACACGTGGGAAAAAAAAAGTGAAAAAAAAAAGTAAAAAAACTGCCCTCTGTGTGTGTGTGTATGCGTGTGTGTGTGTGAGAAAAACTGCCCGCTTTTCTCGTTTTTTTTGCTTTTCCTTTTGTTTTTTTGATTGATTGATTGATTGATTGATTGATTGATTGGTGGGGGATGGGTCGCCCCCCCCCCCCCC